AAAAAAAAAAACACATCAAATCCATAACTGTCTCACAATACGCTTCTTAATTTTCATCTGTCGCTTCAGATCGACTTTATGTAATCTGGCAAAGTAGTGGTACAGTAATAGAATGCACTAAACTCCAGATCCCCTAATCCTCTCGGTCCCCTTTTCCCAGCACCCTGCGGCCAACTAGGGTTGTAATCTGCAGAAAACTCTCTGCTGAGTGGTTGTAGGGCAGGGATATTTTATAGTTTCAACGCCCACAGAGGGACTCCTCGCGAAATGCGGAGGCAGGGGAGAGTGTCCAAAGAAAAGTGAAAGGCGCCTGCGTTCCCTGCAATTCGGAACCCTTTCAAGGTACAGAAGCCCGGAGTTAACCTACCCTTCTGCTTCAGGAGCCCTGGGTTTAATACTGCACATGGCTTCCCCGGCAAACACTCAGAAAACCACAGCCTGACCCACTTCACGCCCTCCTACGTTTAATTCGAGGGGCTCTCCGCAACATCCCCTATCCTCAACCCCAACCCCACCATCACCGCCGCCACCCAGAGAGCTAACCCCGGGGAGGTCCTGGGCGGGTCTGGGACGCCGTCTCCCAGGTGAGCGCCTTCCACCCGCAGGTTAGCCCCGGCCTCTGGAGTTCACAACGAAAAGCCAATCAGAAACTCCCTGATCCTGGATCCGCCCCGGCGTGTGCCTCACGCGCCACACCTCGGGGCGCTTCCCTGCAGGGTCCTCGGGGCGCAGTGGTAGGACGCTACCAGCGGGTGCTAGTGCTGCTTTCTTCCTTAGCGATGGCTGTCATTGCCATAGAGGAGTTTCATCCTCTAGAAAACATGGTGGGAGAAAGAGAAAAAAGAAAGGCACCAGAGAGAGCTCCCTGGAACCTGTTTTTGCAGTGCTGAAAGTTGTACTTGCTAGTAATCACAGGGACTTCACAGATCTAACCTACGATTTAGACCTCTTTGGACAGAAGGACTTCTGGGACTGGACTGGATTAATTCACACTAATGCACACACACACACACACACACACACACGCACACACACACGCACGCACTGCATTCTGCTTACATTTTCTATACTTTATACCACATACTGTATTCCACCCTTCTATGCCTTGTATATCTTTGTGAAGATTACTTATATCTGTATCTATCCCCATAAAGGTAAGGGTAGAATAGAGTGCTAATTCTTTCTGTTTTTCCTTCAACCTTGTCTATTTGCTGGTGTGTAGGGATAGTCCTGGGCCTTCTGACCTTAAAAGCCAGAATGGTCAGAGCTGGTTTCTTATGTAAATGTTTAGGTTCTGCCAAAATAAATAAGCTAAATAAGGTATGCAGAAATAAAAGCAAAAACAGAAAGACCCAAACTTAATCTGAAAACTGTTGATGAGAATAAAGAAAAAGTGAAAAGGAAAAGTCATCTAGCATCATTTTTTGGGGAGAAAATTATCCAAGTTTTGGTGATTGGATTACTACCAGGACCAACTAATGATGCTTTTTTTTTTTTTTTTTTTTTTTTTTTTTTTTTTTTTTTTTTTTTTTTTTTTTTTTTTTTTTTTACAAATAGTGCTACTATGTAAAATGTGCCACTTCAAAAACATAATTGCTAATAGCTGTGGGTGCCAAAATACAACTTTGAGAAAAATGATTAACCATCTTCTATGTACGTTTGGTAGTGTAAGCAGCTAGAGCCTGGAAGTTTCACTTATTAATATTGCATTTTATTTCTCACAACTGTATTGGCTGAAAGTTACTCCTTCCACATAATGTCACTGCCCAATATGTAGGATACCCCAATTTTCCTTGGGCATGTGTCATCCAGACTTCCAGTCTGCGCTTTCAATTTGACTGCATGTTGCCAAATATTCATTTTCCTCTGAACTTAAACAATTTTATGGGCTGTAGCCAAATATTTGTTGGATACATGGAATATTGATCCTGATTTACTAGCTTTATAAATGATTATTAGCAATATTACTTCTTTGAGGCTAGCTTCAATTTTTAGGTTAGTAAATCAGAGTGGCCCAATAATGTGAGGGACAGTAAGTTTTTTTTTTTTTTTTAATACTTTGTGGTGAAATACATTCTTTTGTGCTTAGAGTAAACAGAAAACTATTTTCTTTCCCATCCCTGCTCTTTCTTTCTCTTCTACTGGGTGGGGCTGAGGAAGGTAGGCATCTGATCTGGGGAAGGGAACACAGGGCCCAGTGCATGGGAGCTGGAGCCTCAATTGTGTGAGCAGTGTGCCCCCGCAGAGGGTGTGTGGCATATGATGTTAATCATCAGGTAAGGTGAGTGTCTGTAGGGGCTGGATGGTAGCACAGCAGCAGAATGTAGAGAATGGTGGTTTAGGCAGAAAGAGGAGGGCTTCTGGGTGCATGCATAGCTGGATTAGTGACATAAGGAAGGATTAATGAAAAAAGTCAATATATGAGGACAGAGTAAGGTGTCTCACTGTCACAGAAAGGAGCTACAAGTGTAGAAATGCAGAAAGCTGTACTTTTAGATTCAAATTGGAAATTTGCATATGAGTGTATGGCTTTCATTATGCATAAATAGATGATATTGAAATAAGCAGATATAAATATGAGGGGTGTGTGTGTACCAACAAACATATATTCTCTACTTCTCTTCATTTTCAGGGCTTGAGATCAGTAGTGAGCATATCTAGTTCTCAGATTTTAGTTTTCAGATAAGAGTGTCCACTAACAAGAACCAGACTTCTTGGGAGAATGGGCTGATTCCAAGAATGGGGCAGAAAAAATACAAGATGAATATAAAACATCTTGTGTCAGAAATAAGGAAGTGCTCAAAGTATATGGAGTCATGTCAAAAGACCACAGAAGCCTGCTTGAAGAGGCTTCCACTGACAAAATATAGGGCTACTTGAGCATCAAAGTATGTAATGATAGCAACAGATTATTTACTATTGAGAAATAAAGGAATCTATGAATCCTTAGTAATATAACAGAATAAATGAATACATTGAAGTTTTGATGAATACTTAGTCACAAAATATGTGTTGATTACAAATGAAAGAAGATTGACTCTACTACCGTGGAGAACTATGGCAGACACCAACTTAATCAAGTATCAAAGTTAATACCACCAATAGGTAAATCAAATTTGTGTGCCATTTGTTATGATATTCCTGCCAAAGATGCATATCCTGAATCCAAGTAAGAGAGAATATCAAACCAATCCAAACTGAGATACTGTCTAGAAAATAGCCAGTCTATAATTTTTAAAAATATCAGGGCACCTGGGTGGCTCAATCTGTTAAGCTTCTGACTCTTGATTTCGGCTCAGATCATGATCTCCCAGATCGGATGGTGGGATTGAGCCCCGCAGCAGGCTCCTGTGCAGAGCCTGCTTAGGATTCTCTCTCTCCCTCTCTCTCTGCTCCCCACCCCCTTTCTGTCTCTCTCAAAATAAATAAGTAAACTTTAAAGTAAAAAAAGCATCAAGGCCATGAAAAGCAATGTCCCAGGAACTATTCTAGACTAGAGGAAAATAGAGATGTGGTAATAAATCTGATGCCTGATTCTGTGTTGTCTCCTTTTCTAATAAAGAGCGTCATTGGGATAACTGAGAAAACTTGAATAGTGTGTGAGAAGTAGATGGTAGCCATGTTAACTTCCTGATCTTTGATGGTTTTGTTATGGTTGTGTAAAAGAAGAGAAGGTTTGGGGCGCCTGGGTGGCGCAGTCGGTTAAGCGTCCGACTTCAGCCA